GCTGCTGCTGCTGCTGCTGGCGCTGGGTGGTCTGCTGCTGCTGCTGCGGCGCTGGGTGGTCTGCTGCTGCTGCTGCTGGGTGGTGCTCTGCTGCTGCTGCGGCGCTGGTTGGTATGCTGCTGCTGCTGCTGCTGCCGCTGGGTGGTCTGCTGCTGCTGCGGCACAGCAACCGCTGGAAAAACCAAGCCAAAGAAGTGATGGAAAGGGGGCACCAAACAAAACCTGCTCCTGTCAGGTGGCAGTTGCTTACTGAATGAGACTCGACGCACCACAAAGCACATACTAACACTGCTTCTCTAGAGTTTCCCACGGGACTTGCAAGTGGACCGGCAGTTACCCAATGAGAGTGACTGTGCAGCCCGCCCCCGACTTGTTTGGACGAGGAGGCCCGGCTAGCTTTCGTTCACCCCCTCTGGCCTCAAGTGGTCTCAGTTGGTCGGGTCATCCTGCAAGACATTTTGGGGGGGGAATTGGTTTCCCACTGGAATCCAACAGGTGAAATTCCCGCTTAATCCCTATATTATAGGCCTCCAGTCGTACCGGATCGTTTCGTTTCGGTGGGACGACTGGGGGCCCGGGTGCCAGGAGGGTCCAGTCATACCGAACCTGAGGAGGTACGAGGGTGTCGGTGTAGGGAATATCACCTTTTGTTCCCAGGGAAACTGAGACGGTCAGCAGCCTGGACCCGACTTCATCCGTCACGAACGTTTATAAAAATCTCGCTTGAGACTCAGACCTGGTAGCTGAACTGAACCTTATATAGACTAACATAGTATGTATATAGCTGTATATACATACTAGATAGATAGATAGACAGATTAGGTTAGATTAGATTAGATTAGATAGATAGAAAGAAAGATAGATAGATAGAGAGAGAGAGAGAGAGAAAACAAAAAAACAAGACAATGCATTCAATATGCTTATGCCGCCACATGTCCTTTGATGGCCACGAAATCTTGTGTTGGAAGAACGCTGCCTGGCGTATTGATTCAGCCTTGATCATCAGCCTAGCTAGCCCCCGAAACCGGGGGGCCCAAGCTTCCACCGAGAGTTCTGTAATTATACCAGGTAGATCATGGACACCCAGAATCACCACTGCTCAGGGCCAGTCTACTAGACACCCATGGCCCAGGGTCGCCCTGAAAAGGCCTGATTCGTGTTCAGCACAAGTCAGATGACGATAGCTGACGCGGATCCCTCCCCAAGCCCGCAGCGGCTTGCAAGGTCAGCGGCTCTAGCTTGGCCGAAGGCCTCGATAGTCATATGACTGTTTTTTTTGGAGGTTGCTGTGGGAGACATAGGGCAGTGGTTAAAAGAAAGGGTTGAAAAGATCGCAGGTTGTAAAAACATGTAAAAACAAAATGGCACCTGAAGTCTTCATATATACCCAAAAATTATGGGACACCTTGAAACACCGATGGACTGTAGCGGTATGCGGTGCCTTGGGACTCCTCATGGGCATTAATTTGTATACTTATTATTCTTATTATGTTTATATGTGTTTTAGGTGCCAGGTGTATTAGATATACATTTAGATGCAGTTCCAGACATTTTACACCACACCAAAAAAACACATGCAGCTCCAGATGTCCTACCATCGAGTTCCAAGATGCCAAAGAGAGGAACAAGAGGCGGAGACCCTACACATGACGTACCATCTAAATACACGTTGGATCCACTTTTCCCTGGTGCGGCATGTTTTTGTTGTTCACACTCATTGAATATCATATTCTGACCTATTCCCACTTCTGCGGACCCTGTCTAGCTAAGCTGGGCTAAGCCTAGCTTTGACGTAAACAAGGGTTAGTAAGTCTTAACTAGGTCCGCAGAAGCACTCAACGAGTGTCGGGTAGTGTCGACACCGTGCGGGGCCGCGCAGGAGCCGAATGTGACCGAAGCAGCCGAGAAAGACAGAGACGGAGGTCGATGAAGATGAAGCATGGAAACGCGGAGGTCAAACGGTTCTATTGACCTGGTTCCCTCCAAAAAGCTAGGCCCTACAGGTCATTTGACTCATGTTGGTCATGAAAAACAACTACTCCAACCAGGACCTTCAAAGTGACCTCTTTAAACTCTCTAAGTGACCTTGTACAGACCTAAGTGACCTCATCCTGGGATATCCAAGGGTCACTTTGAAGGTCCTGGAAGAGGTTATGATAGAGACTACTCCATGTGGCCGACGGAGACACATTCGGGTGGGTTGGGAGTGGTCTCCGGTCAATCACCCGTTGGCTCGGGTGTTCAATCACTCCACGGATCTTGGGAGACAACTGGGAAAAGAGACAACTTGCTTGGATCCAGTCGTACCGAACCTCAGAAGGTACGAGGTACTTGGACCCTCCAAACCTACATAACGGTGTCGAACACATCACTGTACCTGAGAAGGTGCTTGCATCCCAGTATGCTGGGCAAAATCCAAGAAGATCTTAGTTGAGACGAAGGACGTTTGCCTACAGACGGAAGTCCTTTTGGAACAAAAAAGACCCCAAGAACCGAGGAGAACAGTTGCGCACGCGCACCCAGAGCGGCGACACTGGAAGTGGATGAACATTGGTCTGCAAATCCATTATTTGAGGCTGTCCCAATTCCATGCTTGTAAAATCTTCTAATTAGGTGGTGGGCAGAAGACAGTCCGTCCTACACCCTTTTTGGCGATGAGAGAGGCAGTTACGTCATGTGACGCTGGCAATGGGAGTCCAGTGAGGTAAGCAGGCCTCGAGAACATATATAAGCCTGACACGCCATGGGACTGCCATATTTGCCTACATTGGGGTGGTTTCAAGGGTCAATGTAGGCATATATGGCATACATGGAGTGTCTCGGTAAGCTACCCTAGGGATCCAGTCGCACCGAACCTCAGAAGGTACGACTGGACCCTCCAAACATACATGACTGTGTCGAACACATCACCGTACCTGAGAAGGTACGACTGGATCCCTAGGGATATAAGCTACACTCCCGAAAACTCACATAGACCCTCACAATGGTCCTTTGCAAGATTGTTTTCCTCTAGAAACCAGAGGTTTTGGGGTTCCATGTTAATCTTCAGGGCAGTATTTGAGCTATGCTCTGGATGAGCCCAACCACACACCCACTGCGACCCCCCCTTTTTCAGCCTCGCAAACGTCCATCCTCTCCCTTACCAAGACCCGCAAGTGATGATGGAAGACTCATTTCCTCTACAAGCAGGCTTTTGTTCCTTTTCCAGTGAGTCGGAAGAGAATAACCTCAATCAACAATCCCTAAGCTGTAATTAAACTTTCTCAAGAAACCACACATGAAAAAACACATTTGATTGGAACTCCAGCTCCATCCGACCTGTTTCTATGGCAAAAGCCTCACCTTGTCTGACAGAGGCGAGGGTCGAGCACCTGCACTTGCAGAGACCTTGTCAGTGAAGGTCGGGACGGTGTTGGAAAGCGGTCGCTTCGGGGGGTTCCGAGGCTCGGCGGTTGCTGCGGAGGTCGCGGGCGAGGTCCGGGACCCTCTTGGAGTCCCCTGGCTTTGTGAAGAACTGTATAGACCAGCCCATAGGTACACGAAGTCGGTTCCTATAGTAGGATCACTTTACAAAATTGATTGGTGATGAAGTTGATATTTCTTTTGGGGTTGTGGCCCTCACACTGGGATATGTTGGATCACACCTGAATCGCGTAGAATGAAAACATCACGAGCGACATGATTCCGTCAGCCACTCGGCAGGGGCATTTCAGCTATCAGGTCGCTTAAAGAGAAGCCAAGTCTCGTTGACAAGCCTACTGTAAGTCATGAGGCATGACTTCTGATTGACCTTGCCTCACAGGTCATATGATCATTGCACCCTCCTTCCAACAAACTGGATGATGGCCCCTGGGAGAAGGAGTGTTTTCCTTTACAGGCTTGAGTTGTTCGCTTTTCAATGATTGGAGGGCAACGGGTAAAGGATATTATTTGGGTTTGTCCCATGGTGAGTCCTTAAAGGGCAAAACTGATTGAACAGCCTTTAGAGTCCAAGTTTGCATGGCCTCATGTTGGCCCTCATGTTATTCTCCAGACTGCTTGTCACTTGCAATTGGGCTGTTAAATGCCGCCATTGGGCTGTTAAACGCCCCCCCGGATCATCATGGAAGTGGAAAACGATGGAAAATGGCCCCACATGTCCCTCTACGAATACGTGGTGAACTTCACTTGCACGTTGATTCCTGGGCGGGAAAAATCAACAAGAGAAACTCATCTCACAAATGGATGCAAATGCTCTTTCAGAGCAGTTCATGGGTTCTACGCTTGCCTTCGCGTGCCTGCAAGCCAGCTCAGACACGTGGAGGATGTCCTCCACATCTCATGTCAACACATCGGGTGCACTCAAGTTGCCTTTGTTTGCACATGGTTTGCTCCAAGCAAAACTGACCTTAAGTGCTTCCACCGACGTCAACTCACGACGACGTTTTCACTCGTGGGGTCGTCGAATGCCGCTTGAGATGGCTCGGCTCGTTGGTACAAGAAGACCTCCAAATCGTAGACCTCCATGCGAATGCCGGTCCTTTGGGGCAAACAGGATTCATGCTCGGTCCCTACACCGACCGAAGTCTCGCACCTCAGCTTCGGTATGACTGGACCCGACAATGGCACCCACCCCAGTCCCACCTTCTCAGGTTAGGTACGACTGGAGGCCTAGTGGGTCAAACACTTCCGTTCCCTCATCGTCATGCCTCCATGGAGTGGCGGCTTCTGGGGCCGCCGCCCTGTCGCGCGGAACGGGCACCAGCTGTGTCGGGCACTGAAACGCGGTCGGGCGGGTCGGGCGGCGTGGGCGAAGTAGAGTGGTCTTTTGCCTGTTGATGTGTCCTTCTCAGAGAATGGGTTGAAGGATCCCTCAGTGGTAATATCAAGGGGGGATGCTCTCTTATTGAAGGTGATTTTGAAGCATTGTTGAACATCATTTGTAGCAGCTCGCTCTAAGATGACACACCTTTTCATCCACATTTCGCTGGGAGGGGTTGCATTGACCCGGCCACAAGAGAAACGCCTTAGAAGAAATCTACTGTTGGGGGTATCCATGGGTATCTTGATGTTGCATATGAATGTACTTTCGCGCAAAACCATCACCAAGGGCCCCAGTCACGTACTTCGGCAAATTCAGAGTTTAAAATCGTGCATGACTACTGTACTAGTAACAAGAAGCTACTATATATTAGCTGTTTGCTAGAAAAGGGGGCACTTGCGGTACTTCAGCATCATGACAGAATACTTCCTGGAAACAGAGAGCTCATTACTACTAGTAACTCGTACATCGACTGATGTGCGGCGCTCCTTTCCGTCCGCGACCTCTGTGCGCCTCCGCCCGAGGCCAACGCCCCTCGGCGTCGCTCACGGCCGCGGGGTCAGCGGTGCCGCGCGTGGGGTCGCCGAGGGTTGGGACCTTATGGGGAAGTACATCTTAGTACTATTTAGTACTATATGTACTGAAGAATTAACGTAATATTATAGACCTTATAGGAAAGTACTATAGCACTTATACTACATTCCCCGAAAAGATGTTGTTATAGCACTTGGCACCGAGTTCGGAAGATCATCTTCAATCCTCATACCTTAAAGAGGTGGTGAATTCACAAAAACTCCACTTCCATGATTGGTTCGTTCTGCCAAAGCCGTGGTCGACGGGGCAGTGGAAGCACATGGTTTGCATTGGTTGTATGGGTCTGAGGGGGCAGTCGACCTATGATTTATATACCGACATATCCCATAGTATTAGATGTACTAATCAGGCCTAATTATCGCAACATGGTGAGTCATCGTGTGCATTTGGAACCTCAAAATCCTCAAGGAGCAGAGAATTGGACTAAAGTTCCATGAAATATGGTGGTTACCATGCTAGTTGGGATATGTGTGGCCGATGTTTTACGTTCAACATGTGATGTTCCAAAGACTGGTAGAACGAGTTCCAGACGCCGATGGGCCGATCGTCCCAGCTGCCCCAAGGTCCGCCAAGTGGGGCACCCTTTGGCGAACTGGGCGAGGTGCGCAGCGTCGTGGGCGTCGTGGTACTTTGCCAAGGAGTGCATGGATTTGTTTTTTGGAAGATCATTATGTAACGTAATTCATGTAGTTGTAATCAACTTGTTATTTGATGTAATTTATTACACTAATGTTTTTGCAAAATTAGTTGTAATCAAGTTGTAACCCCAGTGGTCAATGTCAGAGGGACCGCCCCATGATTCATAGCAGAACAACTGACAAGTTGAGTGGTTGAATGTGGTTGACAAATGTTACAGATGCCGAGAGAGCCTCATTTCTCCGCCACCATTACAAAATTGGAATTCAAACAGTTTCAACACACGCCATTGCATGGAGCTTCCTTAATCTGTTTTGGGGTTCTCTAGATGTCACCAGGTTCTACTCCTGGATATGGGCTAACATGCACTGCCCAGCCCATCCTATCCTGAAAACATCGTCCCTGTCAGTGAGGTCACATTCTGGATGGCCGCCTTGGACGACCGGGGCCTCGGAATAGCTCGCCGGGAAAACTGAGAAACTGGCTGCTGCGATACATCCCTAGGCCTCCAGTCGTACCTTCTGAGAAGGTGGGACTGGGGTGGGTGCCATTCTCGGGTCCAGTCATACCGAACCTGAGGAAGTCCGACGAAGTCGGTGTAGGGCATCGAATTCGCCCAAGGACATGGAAGGCCTTCGTACCTGAAACATGTTCAGATGGCTTACAGACCGACTAATGGCGACGGATTAATAACCCCCCCCTTTCAAGGTCAACATCAGGTGTTGGACCTCAAAGTTTCAAGGGTTGCCCTAGGCCTCACCCTCAAAGTTTGTAAGGTGTTGGACCTAGGGTGTTTTGACCATTACAGTTGCTTCGGGTCCAGGGTTGCCTTACCCAAATTCATGCTCGAATCGGTGCCCGAGGCCTGCAGGCGCACGAAGACCCGACGCGGGGTCTCGTCGACGCGGAGACTTCGGTGTGCAGCGACGTCGGGTGGTGGGGGGGCCTCAGTGCTGGGTTCAGCGATTGGTGCATTTGAAGAATGATGGATACTGGAGACCCTAGAAGTCAGACATCCAGTTCGACTATATTACTGACTGAAGTAAAGGAAATTCCTGAACTTGGGTCACCTAGTCAGACAATTCTTTGTAGGGGATAGAAGGGGTGACCCCAGGTGAACAAGAGGTTTCTTTTTGCTGGGTGGTGGTTTTGGAGGGCTGACTCGGGGTGGTGGATATGATACAATGTACTTCGGATTCATTTGTCACCCACTGACGAATCAAGTTTTGTTTTTGTTTTTGTGTGTGTGTGTGAGTTGAAGCCAGCAACCACGTGCTTCTCGCTGGGGTTTGCAGAAGACGATGGAAGCCGCGCTTGGGAGTGTTGGGATAGGTTGGGATGTTCGTCAGAGGCTTCTTGATGGCGACAGAGTTTGTACCTGCCACATGCTGGTTCGGTTTAAACCCCGTTGTGAGGATTAAACTGATTAAACCCTAGCGAACTGAGGGTCCTTTCTGAAGTAGTATAGTACAGATGATCAACGGCTCAATTGAAGGTTCTTCTTTGCTTTGTCAGTTTCATTTCTTTTAGTTTTCAGCCATGGGATGTTTTTTGCTCCATGTTGTTCTCCTCTTGAGCGATGGCAATGTTGAATATCATGCTCCCCCCCAAGTAAAATTAACAGCGCAAACATCGCGATGCTATGCATTTGTGGACCTTTCCTTTGAACGGAACCAGGCCACAAAACCTGAAAGAGCCTGACACGCCACAACAGGCACTTTGCAAGAGCTTCTCCTGCCCTTGCTGAAGGTGACGCCACCCACTATCTGTACTGAGGCCGGATGCGTCTATATATATATATACTCCAAAACGCGCAAAATTGTGACTTTGGACTTTGAGGGGGGTGGTGGAACTGTCACAGAATACTAACTTCATCTAACTACTAACCACTTCGGCGAATTCTATTTGGAATATGTTGGAATCAAACATGGGGCTTTAACAAATCCCTTTCGAATGCAGCACTTGAAGACTCGAGGACGGCGTTGTTCAAGTTCACATGAGGAGTCTGGCAAAAAGAATCAACATCCTTGAACATGTTGGAACTTCTAGATTGGTATGACGCATGCATGGCAGGCCTATAGATTTCACAAAGAACTACTGCAGTATAATGGATCTTGATTCTACCGGCGCACGTGTCAGACCATTTCTCACCGGAACCGGTGTGACGCTCTTCACACGAACCACACGGCGAACGCCGCAGGACGCCGAAGAGCTGCCGCCCAAGAAGGCGAAGAGCTTCGTCCTGGAACTGCGAAAGAGCTTGGAGCCCCTCGAAGGTGGCGGCCGAGCTTTTTCGGAAACACCTGGCGAGCTGCGGTGTTTTTTGTGCGAGGTTGATGTGTTTCAGCATATGTGAAGGAAGAGATTTGGTTCTCCCCGCTTTTTCTAAACAAATTTCCAGAATCCAAGTTCACGCGACTGTTTATTGGGCAAGGAGATTGATGGCCCACGCAGGTTCCACAAGTTGTTTTGTGAGTGGCTGCTCAGAATGTCGTATTTTGTCGTGATTCTGCAGATGAATGACCGCATCAGGAAGCTGATGTTGCAGAGGTTTATTCTCAAAGTGCAGCTAGTTTTAGGTTAGATTTTGTGCAGGCTACTGCAGTTCAACAATTCTTTCATGATACACCAAGAGTCCTCCACGGGCCACAAGCCATAAGCTGCCACAAGAAAACTTGCAACTGGTGGTTGTATATAACAATACTTATTTTTGTTATATTACGTACTGTTATATACAATAGGTTAATTATGTATTAGTATATTAGTATTTGTCATATATAATCACACATATATTACTTATAGCGGCCAAAGAGTTGGCTGTTCTAACCGGCTCTTTTTCTTTTAGGCACTCAGTTGTAAAAGCACACACACATGCCCCAGACCATGCTAGACTGACGTCTCTAGACCTAGAGGTGTCCTTGAGCCGCGGCTGTCTCCTTTGAGTCTCCTTTGTCCGACGGCCAGAAGCCGCGCCCGAGCACGCGGCCGAGCTCCTCCGCCGGGGGTTTTGGAGCCGAGCCGAGCGGAGCGGAGGGGGGAAACGACACAGGTTTGAAAGCCCAGGCTGCTCGGGAGATGTTTTTAGGAGTGGCATGACCAGAGAGAGAGAGGAAGAGGGAGAGGCTAGTTGGTTTTCCTTGGGGAGTAGCTGCACTATGACGTAAAACATCGTTTCCACGACTCAGTTGACAGAGTCAGTGGTGAAATGACCGAACTGGCGATCTTCCAGACTGTCCGGTCCGTGCGGCTGGACAGCCACCGCCCTAAGGGGAACTCACTCCTTCACTCCTCAAGGTCAGGCAGCTGCTGAGGGTGTTCCCCAGCAGATGCTGGAGCCTTTCCTCGCACGCTTGCTGCGGGTAGACCGAGCAGGGCGTGGAACACCCAGAGCCTAGACGAGCACCGCGTGTTCTTCGGAAAGATGGGGGGATGTTTAGGGTAGCAAACGGAAGTGTTCTAGCCCCACTAGGAGATGCTGGAAATCTAGGTGCGGGGTGTTTGTCATATTAAAGGTTGTGTAAAGTGTCGAGTTCAGACCCGGGTGCTCAATATTGTAGATGATGTGAAGGGACACGGTCAGTGTGAGAAGGTTTGGAAGCTTTGCAGCCTACTTCTGGGGTAGAATTCCAAGGCATCGCATGGCATGAGACATCCATGGTACTAAACTGGCACATAGATGTTACACCAAGGCACAACGCCGCCTTCTTCGGGGCGGTTCATGCATTGACAGCTCCCAGAGCCTTTATGTATGGCGGTAGCATTCAGGGGTCCATGTTTGGTCTGTATAATCATGTATGGTCCATGGTTCATTAATCCTTGTTATGGTGTATTTGGGCAGAATGAAGTTCAGTAGACACATGTAGACAGGCGACCGGGTGTCCGGTGCGTAGTGACTGGGCGATCCCCCCCTTAAAAGACACGGGCCGTAAGAAACAGCGACCTTTGGCACGTCCCGCTGACACCGGCGGTCGTAGCCTCTCAGTGTCCCCAGCTCTTCTCTACCCGGTCCAGGCGGTCCGTTGGTCACCGGGTGGGTCGACCGGCGGGTGCTGCGCCACCTGGTCTGGGACGTGCTAGAGTTAAGAGTTCAGAAGCCTGCAGGTGAAGAGTATGTCCAAATTACGAAAGCCAGCCTTCGTAGAAGGCGCTAGCGGAGTTGTGTCTGGCGAACGAAGTGAGTAGTTAGGGGTCTGGGGGGGTGGCCCGAGAAAGGTATACGTCAACTCAGCACATGCTGGGGGAGGAGGGTGCTCCGAGGGAAGGTTTTTTGAGGTTGTGTTGGAGGTGATTTTTGAGGGGTGGTGATGCAAGAAATGCCAAATGCATCATTTGCATCATCTGAATGGAAAGGTGTAGTTGGCACCTTGCAAGGTAGAGAGACCTAGGGTAGCTATAGTGCAGCTACCAGGTATAGTACTTCAAGTTCCCTTTCCGTCAACCGCTTGAGAACCTCTACACACGCACAGCAATCCACAGCCTTGAAGTCTCATTCGTGCTTTGAACTTGTATAGATGTGTAAGAGGTATAGCAACATACTATTTATACGGACCCAGGGTAGCTACAAGTAGCTACAGTTCTGGTATGGCGCGCATGAGGCTTCAAAGCTGTGGTTTTCAAGCTAAAGTCAAGGTGGCCTGAGACCAGGGTTTGCTGCCCTAAAACACTCTGTTCAGGCCACCTTGAAAATAAAGGTGTAGTTGGCACCTTGCCAGGTATAGACACCCAGGGTAGCTATGTAGCTGTGGTTTTCAAGCTAAATTCAAGGTGGCCTGAGACCACGGTTTGCTGCCCTAAAACACTCTGTTCAGGCCACCTTGAAAATAAAGGTCTTGTAGCTACAATTCTGTTCCCAGGTATGGCGCGCATCAGGCTTCACAGACAGTGGAAATAGCTTCTTCCCGGCTTTGCACTGCGAATCAGCCCCACAAAAGCGCTGGCTTTCGTTTTGCAGCTTCTCAGGTAACCTTTTTTATGGATTTTTTATGGTTTGGATATGATCTGGGAATATGTTTTTTTTACAATTTTTTTGTGAAGCCGCAATTGGAATATGCGGCACTGTTGGGTGCTCACTGTGCCCTTCCTGTGACCACGCAGCCGCCCCTGGAAGATCGCAAGGATCCGGTTTTGGGGCTCCTGTTCAATATTCCTGGTTGGGTGTTTTACGTGGGTTTGGGGGTACTTGTGAGGAGGGCCCAGGGCCTAGGGCGGGGCGTGTGATGGCAGTCCCCTAGAGGCCCGACACCAGACTCACACCTTTGTGCAAAGTGTATTCTTCCCCATAAACAAAACCTGGAGCTCTGGAGCCACCGTATTTTTTTCTGTAAAGAATCCATATTGTTAGAGAAGGGCGCAAATCATATAAAAACCATAAAACACAGTGTGTTTTATGGTTTTTATATGATTTTTACTTTTCTCTAACTTTTGAACTCATAAAACTACCAATCTGCCAAAACCATAAAAAAACCATAAAACACAGTGTGTTTTATGGTTTTTATATGATTTGCATCCGTCTCCAACAATATGGATTTAATATGAATTTTTTATGGCCTTTTTCAGGCCCTATGAGGTGAGCCGAAGCACGTGCCAGACATACCCAAGTGTGTTCCCTGGCGTCTAGCGCCACAATTTTCCAAGTTCTGTGACAGGTCTGACAGCCCCCCTACATGAGAGTTTCCAAGTTCCCCTATATGAGAGTTTCCAGCTTGACCACTGACAACACATTCTGCTTATTGCAGCCCTGGAGCGCCTATTTAATAGGCCTATTTAGTAAATTTAGTAGTCCTCAAGCTATAAAAAAAACAAAAAAAACAACAAAAATATCATAAATCCAATTTTAGCCTTTTTCACAACCATAAAAAATCCATATCTCCAAGCCATTTAAAAAAAAAAACAAAAAACATAAAACAAACAATAAAAAAATATTTCTGGAAATGAGCCCTGTGCAGAGGTTATGAACTCATAATGCTAGAGGGCCTGTGTTGGTTGCTGGTCGACCTGCCCGCGGCGCCCAGGTCGGAGAGTTTGCTGCTATGTTACCAGCTCCTAGAGCTGGCTCCAGCTCGCTCCTTTGGTGAGGCAGGGCATTTTACTCCGAGTGCAGCGTAGCTTATAGCAGCTGATCAAGCATCTTTTTGTTTGTTGCAGTGAGAAACAAACCATCAGCTCGACGTTCACAGCACGCCTTGGAAGATGATCCCACTTGAAGTCCTATGTTTGGGCCGGGTGCAAGTCGTGCTTTCTTTTGAAGCACTTTCTTTGGGGCTACACTGCACCTGCTAGCCGTTGCTAGCGGCGCTGCTAGCGTGTTACGTGTTTAGGCAAACTGTAAATATGATTATTGATGAGCCTTCAAACCTCGCAGATGTTGGAAGTTTGATTTGTCATACTCATATCTGCAACGGCCTCATGGAAGTGGACTCTGCTGGAGCCCGGAAAGAACATGCAATCTCCAGCTGACCAGTTGAGCACCCAAAGTATGGTGGTGGCACCTTGGACAATCTCAGATGATCACCATAACCCAGGGCTCCAGTCGTACCTAACCTGAGAAGGTGTTTAGGGTGGGTTTAGAGGGTCCAGATACCTTCTGAGGAGGTACGACTGGAGCCCTAGGGATAATAGAAGACCCTGGCCATGTCCCAATCATCCGTTCGAATATTGAGTGTGCATTGTCATAAGGGAGACACCCAGAAGCCCAAGGGGTTTTTATCCTAGTCCACTCTCCATCGCGGCAGGCGCTGCTCTCCGTTTTGGTGGCGCAATTGGCACAGCATGGCCGGCCACGGGGCCCAGCGTTCAAAAACCTTCAGAGCCAAATTTGATGGTTGGTGCGTCCCATGTCCAATTCAAGGAACCTGGAAGGTAAGTGTTCTGCTTTTTTTGAAGGGAGGGGGAGGCGCCAACTGGCTTGGGTTTGAACCAAGGCTATACTTTGCACTCTTTTTTGAAATGAGTCCCGGACGCTTTTCACAAAAATGGGTAGGGCTCAGTGGAGATCCCACATTTGGCTCAGGCAATCCATTTTCGATGTCTTTGATGCAGCCCATGGCCACATGTGGTTTGTGGCTTTATGACAAGACCTCTTTGATTTCTTTGCCAGTGTGGATACGTTCGTCATCCGACGACTTGTATACTTCACCTGTCAAAAACGGCGGACCTTCCGAGGCTTCATCATGCAGAAGGGGTTCTCCGGCACGCTGTGCCTTGGAACGTGAAGGGCAAGTGAGTTCGGCGGTGACCCCGTGATTTCGGCATGTGGTGCGTGTTGGTGAGTGAATTCCCCTGGTGAAATCCTGAAAGAAGACCAACATGGCCGGATTTGTTCCAACGCCGTAGAGCCGTGACCCAAAAACAATCCTGTTTGGGGATTGGTTTCAGCTGCTGGTTCTCTCAGAAGCTATGGAGAAAGGTGACTTTGTCTCTTTCTGTCGCAGAATTTGAAGGAGCCAGTGTTGGTCCAGAAGACACAGCTCGGAGTCATTGGGTTAGGTTTGTTCCTGAGAGCTGGGCGCCTAGGAAGGTGGCTCGATGCCCGGCGTTCAGTGGCTTCTTAGGTCAACACTTGACACCGATCCGTGATGGATCAGGTTTGTCCAGCAGCAATAGTGAGGTTTAAGGACAGAAGTCTCAAACATGGCCGACATGGCCTCGGTGAAAGAACTTGCCATTTGCATATTTATCCCTAGGGCTCCAGTCATACCTGCTGAGAAGGTGGGACTGGGGTGGGTTTAGAGGGTCCAGATTCCAGATACCTTCCGAGGAGGTACGACTGGAGCCCTAGGGTATGTAAAGTTCTCTTAAGACATCAGACATCGTGCAAGCAAATCGATGTGAGTCAGCCCTTTGCAAGAGCCTTCCGTTGAGGTGTCGACGGGATCCGTGAAGATGAGGACATTTCAACCCTTGTGGGGGACCTCAGCACGACCTATCGAAGCTTGGGAAGCTTCACTTCCAGTAGTACCTCCTCAGAAGGTATGACTGGACCCTCCTGGCACCCACCCCAGTCCCACCTTCTCAGAAGGTACGACTGGAGGCGTAGGGATTGAGTTTTTTCCCTGTTTCCTGAACCCTCCTAGTGCCCTACGATGCGGTGCCTGTTCCTGGGCCTGTGTCCCACATCCGAAAAGCAGGGATAGACCCCGCAATCAGCACCCACCCCACCCCGAAACGGAGGCCACGCCAGAAGCTTTGCGGAAGCGACAAGTCAGCGGTGGTGAGTGGCGGTGCTGTAGCTGGGCATTCGGTGTTGCTTCCCAGGGATGGTGTTGGGAGGTGTACTGAGGTGTAGGTCGGTCAAAAGAACAGCAGAGGATGACTGAGGACAATTCCTGCAACCGACCCTCTAACCACGGTGGAGTATTAACAGATAGAGACCCTTCAGCATGGGGCCCCACGCAAGAATGACCCGTCGACGGTCCAACTTGATGGATCTTGGGATTGTTTGGAGTGGCCATCACAGGTCTACTTTTGCTTCATGTGCGCAGCTATTCAAGCTACTCACCGCACTATAGATGCTTTAAGTGATATTTCAGCTTCGACCACCTAGCGACCTAGCGTTTCTCTCGGTTAGTTTTCTTTGACCTCTTGTGTCCATCTCAGGATGGACTCTTATGTGCAGCTTGGTGACAGCCAAAGGTGCGCCGTCCGCCGCGGGCTGATGCCTTGAGTGCCTGGTTGTTGGGTCATTTTGGGTTTGTGGGAATGGTGGTTCTATCATAGACCCTTCTCTTGACTGAATGGTTGATGTGTTTGTGCCATGTTACTCAGCTGTATGTCGTAATTTCCTGCATGACGTGTGGCTTCCGATACCTGAAAGACTGGACCTGAAAGACTGGACACACGCCAAGGCGCGCGCGGTTTCGTGACTCGCGCCTCGAGGCGCCTTTTGGCCGAACCTCCTCGGTCAGCGGTCGGCCTCCGGCATCACCCGAGGGCGGAAGCTCGGAACCATTCCTTTTCGGTCAGAACACCTTTTTAATCTTTGTTTGTTTCATCCGCAAGCTTTTTGCACCGAACAGAGCAGCTAAAAGGCATCTGAGATGCAAACATGTTTTTTGAGTGAGTTTTGTTTGAGATTTTCGGCATCTCATGCAAAAAGGTTTTGTCGAGTTTTGCTTGACGCTTTTGAGATACTGTTCTTTTTGCTTGACGCTTTTGAGATTCTGTTCTAGCCCCTACTTCCCGTACGCCTTCAGTTAACTCCTTTGGTTTGCACGTAGCTGGCCTCCAAGGTATCTCCAGGCAAGATCAAAGCAAGCAGGACAACAACCTCCACGGAGGACAGGGGTCCACCAAACAGGGTACCAACAAAAAGGATGTCGCCAGTTTCCAAGGACGACCCAAACCTAGTCCCAAACCTATACCTTGTAGATCCTTGAAGTCAAGAGAAGGATCTTGCAATATCTTGCAAACAATTCATTCACCTGGATGGTTTTGCGTGGCTTCTGCCCGCGCAGGCTTCAACAACTCTTTCATTCAGCTTCCTGGCGGGAACCGTGGAAGTTCGGCATTTGGTCGTTCTGGAAGATGCATGGACCCATCACAAGCACCCGGGTTGGAGGAGACTGGTTACAAGTGCGATGTGCCAGCATATCGTCGCATGGTCCGTCCATATAGGTGTTTCATTCTAGACCAAAAATATGGCCACACGTGTTTGAATCAGCTTGCAGCCCGAACACCCAGCGTGACCAGATCTCGAAGCTGAGCTCAAGTAACCCATGGGGATGGCCCCTTCATGGTCTTCATGCCGATTCGGCGCCGATTCGACGCCACACGATGGACGCCGCAAGAGAGCCACGCCAGACGATCACGCTTCGACGCTGCACCCGTGAGTGTCGTCGTCGTCGCATGGAGCCAAGCCGTGGAGCCATGGGTCCTCCAGGTTTTGCGGCCTCTCGTCCTCCAGGATCAAGTACGGCTCAACGGCTTGGGGCACCTGGGTGGCCGGTGGCCGAAGCCGGATACCCATGGCCTGGCGGAGCGTCCGTTGGTTGGTTCACCAAGCCTTGGAAAGAAGGTTACAATTTGGAAAATCCCAGGTGGAAAGTTTGGCCCACCTTTTTTCTTTGAGTCAGTGGCTGAGATGAACACCGTTTTTTGCCGGGGGGAATGGACGAAGAAGATCAATCGACCGGCCACCGGAGACCGATCCGGAGGGTGAAGCTCACCAATGGCTGGGGGGGAGGTGAAACAGGGCTTCTTCAGGTTTCGCCTTCGCATTGGTTCTGCCCAATGTGTGCAAGAGACTTCATAATCTTCATTGGGCTAGCATCAATAGGATGAGTGAGATGGAATGATGTTCTAAGATTGAACACTAGCTTGGATGCTTGTTAGCTCACTAGCTTGCACTCACTTGGATGGTCAAAGGAACGAGTCGGATGTGAAACTCCACCGAGGCCATGCTTTGATGACACTCCTGCAGGGCTTTGCCTCCAGGCGGATAGTTTTTTTTGTTCTCAGAGAGGTGGGGGAACCACTTGAGTGGATCATCATTTTACGGGAGTAGATTTCCACATGTGTCCCCTGGGCGAAGCTCTATTAAGTCTCAGGCTTCCGGTAGGCCAACCTCTTGCAGTAAGCTTTTTGCTGTTGTCCAAAGTTGTCCAAGGGACCGGCACTTCCCAGGGCAAATCCAACATGAAGCTCACTGCAGACTTCGCGAAAACTACCACACTCTGACCCCTACCCTACACCTCCAAGTACCTCCTCAGAAGGTATGACTGGACCCTCCAAAAAACCCACCCCAGTCCCACCGAACCTCAGGTTAGGTACGACTGGAGACCTAGGGATGTATCGCAGCAGACTGCTAAGCCAACAGGCATGTCCCGAAACCGACGACCGTGAGGCCCCGGCTGCAAGATGAGGTCTGCGGGCTGAGATGGTCTGAGTGCTGTGCATGGGCAGCGGCGGACATGAGTTGTTCACTCCCAAAATTGGCCCCTGGAGAGGTTGAATCAACAGCCCAGCCAGGTCGCCCATCCCATATGTACCGAACGTTCAGGTCGACCTCAACCTCTCTTGGAAGATCTGCAGTGGGAGTTGGAGGGATCAAGTGTCACGGTCTCCACGGTCCAAATGCACGGTCTCCACCCTCCGGGCGCGGCGAACGAACGGACCGGACGCCCCAAAGAGAAAGCAACACGTCCCAAAACAGGTCCAGTCTGACTTGGTAAAACCTGGTCCTTTACCTCATTGAGTAGTGTAATTATAGGAGTGTTTTAAAATATACAATCAACTTCAGCAAAAGGAGGCCAAACTGACCTGTAGGGTATGTTTGTGATGGTTTGTGCGTCCGGTCATGTCAAACGGAAGAGCGATGGCAACTGGGGACATTGGTACACTCCCGGGTGGGAATCATCATAGTTACGTGGATGGCATGGCTCCGACGATGCATGACCATGGCTCCGAACACCAAACAGTTGAATTGGTGAACTCCGAATTCGATGATATCTATATTTTATATATAACATATACATAGAGGCGGTATAATGATTCAATGATACACCCCCGTCAAGACTTTTGGCTCAGTCTTCTCCAGCGGTCGCTTCTGGCCATAAGTACTTCGGATTTGAACCAAAGAGATGTGAGGGTAGTGTAGTAGAGTAGCAATGTTACATATAAGTCACCAAGCAAAACACACATCATCTAGAGAACTTACTGTATGTCGCATGGCAACCAAAGGTCAGTCCAGCCAAGGGTCAATTTGCTGGTGAACTGGTCTATGTACTCACAGGTTAGCACTTCAACCTGCAAACCCAAGCACCCAGACACAAATGGACAGTGGACCGTATACCGCAACAACTAGGCATGTTGTTTGGAACAATTGTTATCAGTGTGAGGATCTTGTTTGTAGCTGGCAAGACTGCTCTCCTTGTGCGTTGCTCTCCTTGCCCCCCTCCGACATGTTTTTGTCACGATGCGTATAGCTTTTGCTTTGAGGTTTTGAGCCTCCTTTCGCAAATGGAGCTCGAGTGTGGCACCCCAAGCACAAGCATGGCAGCCGACCAAGAAGAGGGGTCGCTTCCAGGTCTTAACGAACAAGGAGTATTTTACATCGAAGTATATCGACGGAGCTTGCCTTGAAATCCAGAGGTGATAGTATTAATTATATAGCATGATCATCCCACTGTCAAGGTCCAACTCCAGTTGACACCTTTGTATACAAGGCCCCGTGTAATGACCCCATTCTGCTTTCAATGGTCAAGCTGGTAATTAATGGACTGCATGATGCACTGGAGTTGGCAAATGCTAGAGCTCCATAAACTTGAGTGGTACACTTCCGTGACCTACTCATCAAGCAACAGCTCACCAACCAGCTGGCAGTACATCATTTTTCCTGGGCAAAGGGTGATGTGAGCTCTTGAAAACGCTGAACACCTGGTTTGGAAGAGCTTGGAGGCTCCTATTTGAGGCCCCTGGCAGCTGCACTCCCTCGCTTTCAGGCTCTTGCCGGACGACCTTGAGAGGAACGCGCGGTCGGTGCCACCGGTCCGGGTGGGTGGGAGGGGAACCTGCGAGCTCGGTGTCCCCAGGGAAAGCATGGTTAGAGGATGTTAGAGGGGGAGGTCGATTGAACATCAATCAACCACCCGCACTTGAGAGGTGGTAGTCTGATTTATAGCCATTGGGCCATGCATGTGTTTTGTTGGCTAGACCTCCTTCCACAGATCTTCTTGATACCTTGCAGAAACAAACAAACAACGCAGGGAAGAACTCGTGTTCGAAGCATGCTGAGGGGGCTGGAGCCTGGATGAGCCTGGCAGGCAGACCTCCTTCACCAGACCCTTCCGCGGGCGAACCCCCGCACCGCCGGCGTCTCGGGCAGGATCCACCGGTGCCTCGCGCCCGAGCAGCTCCACCTCCGGGCGGTTCGGAGACCTCAGTGCCGCGCGACGTTGGCCGAGCGTAGGGGCCGGCGCTGGGGCCGAGGAGATGTTTTGTTGAAGGAACCGCTATTTTCCGGTGTTTTCTTCTACTGTTTTTGCTTTTGCTTCTGCTTTTTGCTTCTGCTTTTGCTTTTTGCTTTTGCTTTTTGCTTTTGCTTTTTGCTTTTGATTTTGCTTTTGCTTTTTGCTTCTGCTTTTGCTTTTTGCTTTTGATTTTGCTTTTGCTTTTTGCTTCTGCTTTTGCTTTTTGCTTTTGCTTTTTGCTTTTGCTTTTGCTTTTTGCTTTTCCTTCTGCTTTTGCTTTTGCTTTTTGCTTCTGCTTTTGCTTCTGCCTTTGCTTTTGCTTCTGCTTTTGCTTCTGCTGACTTTCTTTTTTGCATTGACACTGCCACAAAGTTGGATGATAAGACCTTCACCTTGAGCTTTGACACCCAATTATACACCAATCAATAAACGAAGCAGCCCAGCGCTGTCTATATTTGATTTGCATTGCGGGGGAGGCGCTGCGCCCTCCCCCGCACC